CTCCAGAGCTCTCCAGAGCATTCTATATCTCACTGAGGGATCCTTCTGTTCACCTCCAATTTTACCCCAGAGCATCTTGTGTCTTCTAGTGATTCTGGTGCACCCCTGTGCCTTCAAGTGCCCCAATGAACCCTGTGTCATCTAGTGTGCACCTCTATGATATGTGTGCCTCCGATATGCTTCTGCATCATCATGACAGTCCTGCTTACATTGGATACAAACCAATTTGTCCATGACATTAACTTGTAGCAGGTCACAAGGTAAAAGGCTGCAGCAGGGACTGATCTGTGTTAGACACCAGCATTTACATGGTTGGGTCATCTCTTCCAGTCCAGGAAGTAGATGGTGACCGTGGATAATGCCTAAACAAATATGGCTCCATCCTTCTGGAGATAGATGCAGAAAAAACATTGTCGGGAGTTTTGTGATCTCTGTGAGAGGTAATAAACATCTAGAATTGTTACTCTTACACATTGCTAAGCGTGCATATACTTAACATACAAAGTAGATCTGAAGCTAGCTCCACTTTAACTCCAAGCATGACCTAAGTGTCCCTAGAATACCCGAGCTGTCTCGGCAGAATTTGAGAAGCAAGTGAGTCTCTCCAAAGAAGTTTTTTTTTTTTTTTTACTGTAAAATAAACAATCACAAAGAACTCCAGTTTACTCCAATAAATTGCCTGCAGGCGGATTTTGTTGGCCCCTCTATAGAGGTATATAAATTGGGTAAACAAGCTGGATGTGGCGCCTGTCCAGGAGAAATATATTTAGTTCCTAACGTGCTTTGCCCAGAATAAGCTCCTGCTTCCCATTAGCCGTCCTAGACTGGAATGTTGCGTGTTTAATGATGGTATAATTATCAGACGTGATAGCGATCAGTTCGCGGTTTAGCGCGGTCGCGAGCTGAGGATTGTGACTTTGTGTACTTGTATTCTCTTGTTGTCACCGGCAAGCTATTAATCTCTTCCTTTAAAAATCCTTCCCAATACAACAGGCAATGTTTTATTATCTCTATACTGTACATATTGCTAGTTAGACATGTGCCATTCGTTCCGTTCTGAATCAAAATTTGTACAAATTTTTCAAAATTCGGACATTTGGACATATCCGAATTTCCAAATCCCAATGCATCCGAATGTGTCCAAATCTCAATTTCTGTTTCCCCATTTCGAATCCCGTCTGATTTCGTTGAAAAACTACATTGAATCGAACATGTTTTTTGGCCAATCAGATGTGTTTTTCGGTTTAATTCATCCAAATGGGTCTGAATCCGAATTTTCGAATTGCATTCGGGAGCTCCAGAATGCCATTCGGGTCTGGGAGCCTCAGGTTTAGTTTTATGTATATATGGGTCACACTACGAATATTCCTTCTTATTATAGAATACTACTTATATATTAGGGATGCACCTATCAGTGCCGAGTATTTGGGCGCGTACTCGTACTAGCCCAAATGCTCTAATACCTAGCCCGATACTTGAGCTTCTGGTATCAGGAAGCTGGGCAGCAAGTCATTACACAATCACAAGTGAAGAGGGAGCCGGCTTCCCAGCCAATCAGGAAGCCGGGCAGCGTGTAATGACGATGCCCGGCTTTCTGGTTGGTCGGGAGCTGGCGGCGCCCGGCTTCCTGATTGGCCAAAAAGCCAGCTTCATGCTCTCTCGTCACCATGTGTTGAGTGAGAATGGAGCTGGCTTCCCGGCTAATCAGGAAGCCGGGTGCCGCGTCATTACACTGCGCCCGGCTTCCTGATTGGCCAAAAAGCCAGCTTCATGCTCTCTCGTCACCATGTGTTGAGTGAGAATGGAGCTGGCTTCCCGGCTAATCAGGAAGCCGGGTGCCGCGTCATTACACTGCGCCCGGCTTCCTGATTGGCCAAAAAGCCAGCTTCATGCTCTCTCGTCACCATGTGTTGAGTGAGAATGGAGCTGGCTTCCCGGCTAATCAGGAAGCCGGGTGCCGCGTCATTACACTGCGCCCGGCTTCCTGATTGGCCAAAAAGCCGGCTCCATGCTTTCTCATCACCTAATGATGAGAAGCATGGAGACTGCTTCCCTGCCTATCGGGAAGCTGGGTGGCGAGTCATTACATGCTGCCTGGCTTCCCAGCTAATCAAGAAGCCAGGTGATGAGTCATTACACGCTGTCTGTCTTCCTTAATGGGACTTCCAGTATCGGTATTCAGTATCAGCAAGTACAGAAAAAAAAATGTCAGTACTCGTATTTGATAACGAAAAACTGGTATCGGTGCATCCCTATTATACATACATAATGCTAAAACTTATGCTCCAAGACCCAAATGGAGTCCGAATAGCATTCAAGAGTTTCTGAATGCCATTCGGGTCTGGAAGCCTCAGCTTTAATTTGGCTCCCAGACCCGGGAGCTGTCGGCGCCCGGCTTCCTGATTGGCCAAAAAGCCAGCTTCATGCTCTCTCGTCACCATGTGTTGAGTGAGAATGGAGCTGGCTTCCCGGCTAATATATACATATATACGGCCGAATCCGAAATCCAAACCGAATTGAATTTCGGATCTGAATCCCGAAATTACGAAATATCCAAACCGAACCGCTATATATAAAAATGTATAAGACTCCACGTAAATCCAAGTAAATCTGGCTTTGCACTGCTCAAAATTCAACCAATATGTGGCCCTTTCAGCATCCCTCCATTCAATAAAAGTTGACTTCGGAACAACGGAGCCGGTCTGAAACTTCTCAGGTGAACAGCTGCAATCACTTTTTGGGTATTCTGACAGCGGCACACTGTTACAGTTTTCAACCAGTGTGTGGCCCTTTCAGCACCCCTCTATTCAATAAAAGTCAACTTTGATCAACGGAGCCCGTCTGAAACTTCTCAGATGAACAGCTGCAATCACTTTTTGGGTATTTTGACACTGTTACAGTTTCTGAAGAAAGAAATAGAAAGGCCCTAACTAAATGCGCACTAACCAACTATATTTCTTTAACAAAAAAATAAGTTTACTGCCACAAATACTTCCCTGAATCCATGGTCACCAGTCATCCCGAGTACTCTCATTCTCACTGCAGAGTGGGGGGGGTCCTTCTTAGGGTGCCCATGCCTAGTGAAGTGGGCACTTCCATTGGGTCCATCGGCAGGGTCTTGATGGCCTTGATGACGTATTGACAAGGTTCACCACAACACTGGTTGGCGTAAGGCCTGAACCTCAGTGCTGGGTTACCGGTCTTCACCAGCAGAAGAGGTGCCACGGAGGGTCACATGACGGGGGAGTATATAAGGACTTTGGAGGGCTTTTCTTTTACTTGGTGTATAGGAGAAATTAGGTGGTTTAAATATGTGTAGTGCTGGTGGCTTGTGTTGCAATTATATACGGTATGTTGTATCCATGTTTTCAGTGAAAGTGGAGATTGTCTATGAGCACCATTGAACGGTGCTATGCCCTTCCATTATTATCAATGGGCACTTTCTTGGTTGACAGATGTGGGGTTACATAGGGTTCTTAATTTTTAGATATTAGAATCTGCCTGGTATGGCTGTGCTGCCAGCACTTCTCAAGCATGCCTTAGATTTGTGGTAATCGGTAAAACTAACATTCACAATCGTAACAACAATATTAGCTGAAACCTCATTGGCAGAGACGTCTGTGTCAAGCCTATTTGTACAGGAGATAAGATTACACTGCGATCCGTTCAGAGGAGACTTGAAAGTGTGTCTAGATTGTGTCATGTTTTCCTGCGGCGTGTGCTGCCATTGTCTTTTATCCAACCCTTTCACATCGCCCTCCAGTCCTTTACGTTCACTTGTTTCGAGCTCTGCGTGGGGAGAGACGGCAGAAATTGATTTTAATGGGGTCACATCTGCGCGGCAATCGTAGAAAAAAAGTACATGTTATTTTTGCACCTAGACCAAAAACGAGCACTTAACCCTTGCTTCTATCCAGCCAGCAGCGCTCTGTTCTCTTGTTTAATGTGTGAAGGATTCCGTTACCTTCACTTGCTAAGTAAAACATTCTGTTTAGAGATCTCAATGAAACATGGGCAGAGGCGTTTCTCTTATCTGGGGGCTTAATAAGAGGTTTCAATCAGACAAAGGGAACTGCAAAGCAAGCAGCCTCTCTAGGTAAGCCATAGTGCTCTGGCTATCCTTTGTAAAGTATTCAATATTTATTTGTAAAACAAAAAAAGTGTATATAGATAAGAGAAACATATAAAAACAACAGTTTAAAAAACTAAAATACTAAGGGCCAGTGATCACCTAGGCGTCACCTCAACGGATTGCCGTGCGCTCAGGAGTCGCCTAGGTATGCTCTCACCAGGGCTGTGTGGGCTCTCAGGGGAGCTGTGCGGGCTCTCAGTACTCGTGAAAATGCCCAGTATCTGCACCGTTCCCGCATCAGTGCCAATACTGGTAATGGCAGGTGAGGCTCTGCCTCACTGGTTTGGGGGTGGTGTTTTTTGCCGCTGCCCTAGAAAGTGCTGCCCAAGGGAAATGCCTTGTCTGCCTTGTGGCAGATATGCCTCTGACTATAGGTGGCAGTGGAGATTCCCCATACATTCCCCCATACTTGCAATGTACTGAAAACATTGCTTAAAAACAATTGCCTTTTGGTCATTCCATCAGTTATATTCTATTTTTAAAGCAATTTTGTTTTTGCTGTCCTCATATTGGATTTTTTCTAATCTTGGGAATTTGTTACATAGTTACATAGTTAGTCAGGTTGAAGAGAGACACAAGTCCATCGAGTTCAACCTATAGAGTTTGTTGTGTATGACCTTGTCATATATGAGAGGTAACCTAAAACAGAAGACCATGATTAACTTTGCTTGCACAAGCAAAAATTGAGGTGAAAAAAACCAAGAAGTCGGATTTGGGTTATTTGGAATCTTATCATTGAAAGCAGATTTCAAGTGCAAGTGTTGCAAAGTTTGAAGCATGCAAACAATTTTCTGTAACATTTTGTTATCTGATAACACAAGGCCGCAGTCAGATAATCTTATAATAACCTTTTGATTTTGCTGCCTAGCGTTGTACTCCTGCTCCATCGGAAATGGCGGCTGTGAACACGACTGCGTACAGATCACCGTGGCTCATTACCAGTGCCGCTGCCGGAGCAACTATCAGCTGAAAGAAGACGGGAAGCACTGCGAACGTAAGTGAGGCCATTCCTTTAGTAATGAGAGTGTTTATGTTCTGCAATATTGACTGATATCATTGTTCTCCACCAGCTATATGAGCTGCACATCTGCTCTGGCCATCATTGGGTTGACCCGATGACAATGCTAACCACTGAAGGCCATGAGATTACCCATGTTTTGAAAGAATTCTCAGAATTCTCAGACTGCTATGGGTTACATGGGAGACCTTGGCTGAGGGGCATTTCTCCTCTAGGCCAGTACTAGTCTATGTTGGGGTGGTGACCCTGAGTGAAGATACTCCACCATTCAGGCATTGATCAGAGCAGGACTTGTAGTCATTGACAAATGCTGGGCATTTTGTACCCATCTGTTCCATGTGCAGAACTGTGTATGGCAGAGAGAGGTTTTATAGCAACAACCTGCTTTGCAGCTCTAAGATGTCATGTGACTGCCAACAGTTACAAAGGAAGCTGATGTTGGAAGAAGTGAAAAGGTGAATTACAATAAACCCTGTCCTTTAGGTACACCGACCTTTTACCATGCCTACCAATCAATGTGGAACCATGATACATTTTGCTTAGTACACTTTCTCTATCCCACAGAATGTGACTGCTCTCATGTGCCTAAAATTACCGTTTCTGCACCATTGTTTATACTTTATTTGGCTTGTTGTGCTTCTCCTATGGGAAACCTTGTCGGGATGCAGCTTGCTCACACTTACTGTATTCTGCTCTACCTATAACGGAAGCATTGCTGACATTTTTCAAAATGGTGCCAGATGTATAACAGATGTTTCACAGATTCTACCCCCTGCGTCTACACGTAGCGCTGTCTCTACTAAATGGATGTGCTGCACATTTAGTACAAATCATCCTATATGACATTTCCAACAAGAAGATATATTGGCAAGGGGCTTCAGACTACATTGTAAGGTTCTGTTTATCTTACAAGTTCAGATTTTCCTGCGAGATGGGAAAGTTCTGCTTTTAAGGCCCTTAGCAGAGTACAAATGCAATGATTTAACTTGGAGGTTTTCCATTTGCAGGATGAACAGTGAAATGCAAACCACA